GATCATCGCACAGTCAGCCAGATGTTCAGACTGGATTTGGCATTTTTGTCTACCTATCGAGTCCTTCCCAAGGACCTGGGATAGGCAGATGTGGATGTTTGATGGTATTACAGATCTCGTCGCAGGATGGAAGCAGTTCCTAGTAAGGCCGCCTTTTGCAATTGACTAATGGCGAATTTGTCAATGCCGATGATGGTGTTCAAGTGGTGCTCCAGTTGTTTTGGGATGGCACCCAAGGCGCCTATGACTATTGATACTACCCTTGCTTGCTTTTGCCACAGTTTCTCTATTTCTATTTGTAGGTCTTTGTATTTTGTGATCTTCTCCAGTTCTTTCTCGTCTATTCTGCTGTCTCCAGGCACTGCCACGTCCACTATCCAGACTTTTTTTTGTCTTTCTTATCGACAATTGTTAAGTCCAGAGTGTTATGTGGCAGGTGCTTGTCTGTTTGAATTCTGAAGTCCCAGAGCAGTTTAATTTTATTATTTTCTATGACTTTCTCTATTTTATGATCCCATCAGTTCTTGCTTACAGGCAAATGATATTTCTTGCAGATCTTCCAATGCAGTATTATTATTACCATCATATTATTATTATTATTATTATTATTATTACTACTACTACTACTACTACTACTACTACTACTACTATTATTATTATTATTATTATTATTGTTTTATTCATTAGACATGAACCTCAGTCAACTGAACATTCAAATTGGCTGGCGCTGATGGTTGACACGGGTTGCTGCCAGCATCCTAAGTGTCAACCAGGTACCTCCTCAAAATATAAGATGTTCCGAGTAGCGCAGGTTTTTTGTAACATTGCTGGAGTTATTGCAGGAAGCTGCAGTTTCTTGATGTGTTTTGCAAAGTTTTTGGACATAGTTCCCAGTGCCCCGATGACAATGGGTGCCACTGGTACACGTTTCATCCACAATCGCGCAGTTTCGATGGCCAGGTCGCGATATTTCATCATTTTTCCCAGTTCTTTTTCTTCGACTCTGGCATCACCTGGTACGGCGATATCAATCAGCTGTACAGTTCTCTACAACTGCGATATCCGGCGTGCTGTGTTCCAAATGGCGATCTGTCTATTCGATTTACAATGGCTGAATTTTTCAGGGAGTTGAGAAACGTCCTGCAGTTATTTTCCCCTTTGCAAGTTCGTCAACAGATGCTTTGATTTCTTGAGAATGAAGAAGCAGTTTTGGCGGTTAGCATAAAGCGAAGGTCCCCAACCTTTTGGGCACCAGGGACCGCTTCTGCGGAGAAAGGTTTTTCCATGGACTGGAGGGTGTGTGGTTTTGCGTGCTTCCTGCATCCAATGGATGAGGCTTTGCTTGTTTGTGTGGCATGCCACAGACTGGTGCCAGTCCACGGACCAGGGGTTGGGAACCCCTGGCGTAAAGAGCTCCAGTTTTTCTTTAAAAAACAAAAACAAAACAAAAACACTTTATTTGATCTGTTCTACCACAATAGTTGCCAGGGAATTGAGTTATTAGTGTGAGGCACATCTGGAGACAGCTGTTAGGCACGCTGAAATGCAGCTGCTGTGGGCCAGGCATGCAGTTTTATTGCCGTCCTTAGGAATGTTCACGCATCTTTTATTTTAGGAATATCTGTTATCAAGCAGAGTTTGGTGTGACTTTCTGGAAAGGCTTCTGCTTTGAAGGTGACTCTGAGGAACAAATAGGTTGCTGAACTCATTTGGGATTTTTCTGGACAGCCACTTGTCTGAGATGGTATAGGTTCTCCTACTGGAGTGGGGGCTGGACTAGAAGACCTCCAAGGTCCCTTCCAGCTTCTATTCTATTCTATTCTATTCTATTCTATTCTATTCTATTCTATTCTATTCTTATTTCTATCCTATCCTATCCTATCCTATTCTATTCCTACTCTACTCTACTCTACTCTACTCTACTCTACTCTATTCTAATCATTGTTCTATTCTATTCTGTTCTGTTCTGTTCTTATCATTATTCTATTCTATTATCATTATTCTATTCTAGTCTGTATTCTAGTCTAGTCTAGTCTACGATCTATTCCATTCCATTCCATTCCATTCCATTCCATTCCATTCCATTCTATTCTATTCTATTCTATTCTATTCTATTCTATTCTATTCTATTCTATTCTCTATTCTCTATTCTAGTCTGTATTCTAGTTTGTATTCTAGTCTAGTCTAGTCTACAATCTATTCCACTCCACTCCACTCCACTCCACTCCACTCCACTCCACTCCACTCCACTCTACTCTACTCTACTCTACTCTACTCTACTCTACTCTACTCTACTCTTCTATCCTATTCCTGGTTGACTAGATACCCTTTGAACGTCTGCACATTTTTCCCACAGGGTCTTTCACTCTAAGTGCGGCATTTAGAGAAAGAATTCCTTGATTTCCCAGGGGCTTCCCAATTCACATGTGCTGTCCACTGCCAGGATTAGACTCTCATTCTCTGTGGTGATTTAGGGCTCCATCTACACGTTCACAAGTAATCATCGACTTAACAACCATTCATTTAGTGTCCATTTAAGTTACGATGGCGTTAAAAGAAGTGACTTATGGCTGCTTTTCATGACTTACAGCCCTTGCAGCGTCCCCAGGGCCACGTGATCAAAATTCAGACACTTGGCAACCGACTCGTATTTATGACGGTCGCGGTGTCCTGGGGGGGTGTCACGTGATCCCCTTTTGCGTCAACGGGCAAAGCCAGATTCACTTAACAACCCGTGTTAGTAACTTAACAAGGGCCGTGATTCACTTAACAACTGTGGCAAGACCGGTCGTAAAATGAAAGTCACTGAACAGGAGGAGAGGCAGCCAAGCCTCGCGGGGCGGTGTATATAAGTCTAAAATGCTAACGCGATTGTTGTTATTAACAACTGCTAACCAAACTCACTTAACCGCCCTCTGAGAAACTTTGGCCTCTGTCGCTGTCATAAGTCGAGGACAGCCTGGGTGCTGCTGCCACACATTGTCTGTCTGACGCCACGGAAAGCAAGCATGAAGGTGACCTTGCTCTCCCTTCGGCTGCAGCCCTTCCCTGCCGGAAAGCGGTTGCAATCCCCAGTGTGTTGTGGCTCCGTCTTGTGAGCCCCTCTTATCGGAGGAAGAAGGCTCCGAACATGAAGGAGAGGAGATGGCCAGGCCTCCCTCTCCAGGACCCTCCTCTTTGGCAAGGCCTCAGGTGTCTCCCGACGGAGAAGAGATTGACCAGGAGCCCGGTGTTTCTCAGATTGGCCAGGAGCCAGGTGGTTCTGAGATTGGCCAGGAGCCAGGTGTTTCGGATAGTGAGGAAGAAAAGTTGTGGCTGGATCCACGCCAGCGTAGGAGCGATAAGCGTGCGCAGCAGAAAAGGAGACATGCCAGAGATTAAGCTGAGTCACTGGACCACACCCCACAGGCTATAAAAGGGAGGTGGTGGCCATTTGGACCTCTGTGACGGACAAAAGCTGAATCTCTGGCAAAGTAGTGTGCTGTGGTTTTAAACTGTGTGTATTGTTTTTGTTTCTGGGTGTTTGGAGTAAAAGGTCTTGGCAGGCAGCTACGGAGCTGCTGCCAAGTTTCTTATCTGTGAAGTGGTGTCTGGAGAAGTCTTTAACCCTCGGCTGGCTGTTTGGGTGTGTGGGTCGGAACGGGGACAGAACACAGTGGTTGCCCAACAGCCATTTCACTGCCTGGGGAGACTTGGGGGGGGGGTGATGCCAAGCAAGGTGGCACCCCTTTCTGCACCCTGTAAACGTGCAAAGGGCAGAGCTCCCCTCTGTGTTGCAGAAGAAAAATGCACGGATGTCTCTTTCCCTCCTTCTCCTCCTCACGGCCCTTTTCTTCCCCCTTCCCACAGGCGTCTGCTGCTGCTGCGCGGCCCTGCGCCCGCGATACAAGCGCCTGGTGGACAACATATTCCCCGAGGACCCCAAAGTAAGTGGAGGAGCCCTCCCGGCGGCCCCCTGATTGGCGGACTCTGGCGCTGGGCCGCTCCGACGTGGCGGGGGAAGCCTCTGCGCATTGGCGGAGATCGGCACGGCTCTCTTTCTCTCTTTTTTATTTGAGGGGTTGGTTCTCAGGTGGGTGCTCTGGGTGGTTCCCTTGGCTCGGTCTCCGCGTGGGGGGAGCACGGGCCGTTCTGCCCCCCTCTCCCCCGCGGGGGCTTTGGTTGCTGGGAATGGCTGTCTTTCTTTTTTAAAGGCCAGCTGTACAAGCGCCTTGGCCTTGCAGAGTCCATTCTGACACGCTCAGGGTTAAGAAGCAGGTTTTCTCTTCCGCTCAACACAGGAGCCTTGAAGGGTTCTTTAGAAGAGGTGGCAGACCTAAGCATGGGTCCTTCCTTCCCTCCCTCCCTTCCAATCCTTCCTTCCTCCCTCTCCCTCTCCCTCTCCCTTCCTTTCCTCCCTTTTTCTCTCCCTCCAATCCTTCCTCCCTCTCCCTTCCTTCCTCCCTCCCTCCCTCCTTTCCTTCTTCCCTCCCCTTCCTCTCTCCCTCTCCCTCCCTCCCCTCCCTTCCTCTCTCCCTCCCCTCCAATCCTTCCTCTCTCCCTCTCCCTCTCCCTCTCCCTTCCTTTCCTCCCTTTTTCTCTCCCTTCCTCTCTCCCTCCCCTCCAATCCTTCCTCCCTCCCTCTCCCTCCTTTCCTCCCTTCTCC